TATCAAAACAAAACAAAACAAAACAAAACAAAACAAAACAAAACAAAACAAAACAAAACAAAACAAAACAAAACAAAACAAAACAAAACAAAACAAAACAAAACAAAACAAAACAAAACAAAACAAAACAAAACAAAACAAAACAAAACAAAACAAAACAAAACAAAACAAAACAAAACAAAACAAAACAAAACAAAACAAAACAAAACAAAACAAAACAAAACAAAACAAAACAAAACAATTAACCAAGATGAAACAACCTAACAATAACAACACAAAATATATAAAGCAACACACTTTCAAAAGTTCTGGCATTTTGTATCCCAATTTGTTGCATAGGTGACCCCCAGCTCTGGAACAGAGGTCAAGCTCTGGATTAATACAACTGGGGTATAAGTGGAAAATTCCGTCTGGATTAATAAACAACTTGAGGCTTCCTGTTTTCATTTTTCCCTTTTTCACACCACTACACTGGCTTAGCTGGTTGTAAGCACATTTTCAAATGGAAAAGCTGTTGTCTCTGCTGGTGCCAGTATGATTAAATCCTTTCAATCCAAACTCTATTGTGAGGCTAGAGAAATGTACTTGAGCAACGGGTCAGATAAGATGCCACTGTGTGTAGGTGGGGATGGAATCTTGGCTTTATGAGTGAGGTATTCTCTCACATACCTCGGCTCTATGCACCTGCTACTAGCCTCTTTGGCTTAATGCTTTTAGGGCTGCTTTAGGCGCGTGACTGTGGCTAAGAGTGTCTGAAACCCATCCAGGTGACACAGGATGTAGTGGATTACATAGAAAAGGCACTAAAAGGATGTGAGGGATTTGTACTGTACCTGCACATGCTGCCTGTAGAGCTCTTCAGCATCTAACTAAGGCACATTATACACAGAAACACGCAAATGTATAACACATATACCCTCACGTGTGAACAGAGGAGAGAATTCAAGAGTCAAATGTGTTATTTATGTGCACATGCACATTGCATGTTGTGTTATTTTAGCACCTGATTCATTAAGCAAATGCGCTAAATCAATGCGTTTGGATCCATGGCTAGTTATGATGCTGTTTTATTTTATTTATTTATTTTTTGATTAGTTGGAACAGCAGCTACGCTAATTTTTCTCTATTTCCTTAGGGATTGGCATCCCGTGGTAACTAGGAATTACGCAAGCTTCAGTCTGGATCCAGCCCTTACAAAGACCTGAGATGACCGAAAGAGATGATGCCAACCCCTCAGAAGACCTCAGATGATGCAAACCCTCAGACAACATACAAAACTACCAAATTTTGCTATAAGTTTGATCGCAACAAATAATCATTGCTGTTAATAGTGTTCACCGTCTGTTTGATTACATGACATTCACTAATTGCTTGATTTTTACCGTACATTTCTGCCATATGGACATCAACTTGAGATAGTCACCACTGATAAGCTATTACTAAATATAATGTAGAAACATAAATTTTCTGTAAAGCTGCTTTGCAACGATTTACATCATGAAAAGCACTATACAAATAAACTTGAATTTAATTGAATTTGTCATGATTTTCTATCAACTTTTGTTGAACAACTGCAGCCATGAACAAGAGAAAAACAAAAAAATCTAAATAAATATTACAATTTGTACTTTATTTAAATATTTTGAATATTAAAATACTATTATATTAATATTAATATAAACATATTTAATATAAATATAATAAAAAAATATTTGTATAAAATAAAAAATCTGCAATGCAAATAGCACTTACTTTTATGAATAAGGTGCATTTGATATTAAGAATATGTACATCTAAATAAAAATATGATTACTGAAATAAAAAGAAAGTCGTCATGAAATTAAAATTCACTTTATATATTTTCTAAAAATAAGTTACTGATTTAATTGTGTACATGATTTATTTATTTATATAAAAATTTTTTACCCCGTAATGTAATTTTGATGTTCCAGCAAAACGACAGAATTCTTTCTGGCACGTCACAAAGCAGATGAAAAGATCTGTCGCTACTTCCATTTCATCACAATTTAAATCAAATAAAGTGTGATGATATTTCCTAGTACTTTTAGTGCCCAAAGAAACTGATTTGGAGGTGCTTTTTTATGCTTTTTTATGCTAAAATGTGCTAAAATGTGACCCTGGACCACAAAAGTCATAAGGGTCAGTTTTTTGAAAGAAAATAAATAAGCTTTCCATTAATGTATGGTGTGTTAGGATAGGACAATATTTGGCCAAGATACACTTATTTGAAAATCTGGAATCTGAGGGTGCAAAACAATCAAAATAAAATCGTCTTTAAAGTTGTCCAAATTAAGTCCTTAGCATTGCATATTACTAATCAAAAATTAAGTTTTAATATATTTACAGTAGGAAATTTACAAAATATCTTAACGAAACATGATCTTTACTTAATATCCTAATGATTTTTGGCATAAAAGAAAAATCGATAACTTTGACCCATACAATGTATTTTTGGCTATTGCTACAAATATACCCCAGCGACTTAAGACTGGTTTTGT